AAAATGCCAAAAGCAAAGCAAGAAAGTTGAAACGACTTGACGGTACACATGAACCAAAAAGACAAGATCACGACAGCAGAAGAGTGGCCCGTTATAATCGCACTTATGAAAAAAGTAGGGCGATTTTGACATAAGCCGTTTGTTTACATTTGTTCGTTGTTTACAATTTGATGGTGGCTTTTTACTGCAATTTTCTTAATTTTCGCTTGTGACAACGTGTGCACACATAAGGTAAAGAATAATTTAACACAACGACATGATTTATATAAGAATTTGCATAATAAAAATGATTATTCATGGGTTCAACAATTACGCGGTTTTTTTTGTTCTCTTCGTTGTTTACTTCTTCCAACAAAGATGGCGTCGAGATTTCAACAGCTAGAAAATAACTTTTTTCTTTCTTTCGGGAAGGCGTGATCTTGTGTCTTTCGTTCATGGACGGTACAGACGCATGTGTACTCGTCCCTTTTTTTCTCACCCCCTCTCTTCCACATGCGAGCAGAATTGAATTCAATACTTGAACTGTGTAAAAGCAGTCTTAAAGTAGGCGAAATAGCAGGGCGAACGGTGGACGACGGCATCGGTCAAATCGGCGAACTGCGCCGTTCGCCGGGTATTGTGTTTCAAGCATCAGTTTTGCAGATGTTAAAAACGTTATAAGTTCCTGTGCAAAATACGTTTAAAATATTTGAAATTTACTATCGAAAGGTTTTTTGTTGAAAAATAAGTAGTTTATATTTAGCTAGCATCTATTATAGCACGAAAAATTGTAGTTGAAAAGTTAAGTTTATGAAAAGGCTTTGATGAGTGGCAACACTGAGGGCTCCAGTAATCGACAAAATTCTGCGTATACAGACTGCGGTTAAGTATAAGTTCTGCGTTCTTGACTAATTTCACCTTTAGAAAAAGCGTGTGGTCTCTTTTTTGACCTCGAAGGGAATTTTGCTGAATAGTAGTAAAAGTGCTCCATTATTCGAATTTTGCTTTGCTCTTATTCGCTGACATTTGTTTCCCTGTTACATAAACGCTATCAGTTGACTGTCTCTGTTTGTTTTCACCACACATTTTTGGTGAACTTTTTGCGACTCTCACCTACTGAATAGCCAAATCATCTCAAGTCACAAAAATAGTCACTAATTGCTAATCTAAAATTTAGTGAATTGAGATGAGACTGAATTACTGAATCCCAGGGCATGAATTGAAACGATAGTCGTTCAAACGATACTGACATAACGATGTTGTCAAAACACTGATTTATGCATTTGTGTTGCTGTTACGTGTTTTACTGTTACGTGAAGCAAAACTGGAATAGAGTTCACGGTATCGCACAAACGATCAAAAAATTTTTGATTTTTATTAAGCAAGATAATCTCGACACGATATCGTTCAGACGATTTTCGTCATACGTGATTCATGCCCAGGGTAGGTGTACCTTGGAGAGAATTGATGTAAGATTCACTCCTTAAAAAGTTTACCACGGCAACTCATCACATTGTAAATAATCTATTACAAATTATGACATATAGGTGACATTTGACTTGACAGTTTGATTTCGCTGCGCAAGTTTCTTTCGTACAGCCGGCGGGTGAGGACAGTGGATCTTGCTTTCTTTGTATAGGAAATAACTCGCGTGTGTGAAAGTAAAATAGTTTACTACAGATTATAATCTTGCCGCAATTAGTAACTTTTAGAATAACTTTAATTTAGTTATAAAAATCGGTAAGTACTCACCATTAAAAATATGTGCAATAAAAATCTATTTAGTTTGTGAAAAGCTAATTTGCTATAAAATAGCGACTCGAATTTCCTTTTTTACGTGTTCAGCGCACACATTCACGTGTAAAATTATTCGCTCAAAATGGCTGACAGCATTTTGGGCGAATTCAGTGGTGTGCGCCAGTGATCGGACTCTAAGAAAATTCTGTGGTAGAATCTTGAAATAAAATGTAGATTTCAAAAATATGTGGTAGATAATTTTGGCTATGTGGACGGCTGCATTTGAATTCATGTATTCATAGTCAGCTGTTGAAGCGGCGCCAACGCAATGCCAAAGTTCTATGTGGACGGGCCTTAAGATATTTTACGAACATATTTTAAGAGATTTCTGCGACCTTAGGTGTACTGTCAGCTTTTCTTTTATCACATCAAGAAGTAGCGAACAAATGTGCCACGTTCCAGAAACAGCCAATTGGGATTTGCCGATTTTGACAACTCTCAAGTAAAAGTAAGCAACGCCTCAAAACCCTTAGATGCACTTAAATTTGCTAATTCTTTCACAAAAGTCGCCGTTTTTAACATTTTCGCTATTAATTCTTGTTATAAATCATATATTCTGTAATTTTAACACAATAAAAGCACATTTGCCGTCGAAAAATTGGTTACTGAGAAAATTTACTATTTTACATATTTTCTCATTCGGCTTTTTTTACTTTTACTTGAGAAATTTCATCGTCGCCGGGAATGCGGAGTCTTATATTATATTATTCTTGTTACCATAGATATATTGTTTAGTGTTTGACAATTTTTGCTCTTAAAATTAAGAAAATTATCTCAAGCAAAAATAAAACTACTGAAAAACGCGAATATGTGGTAGATTTCAGACCTTGAGTGGTAGATAGGAATGAATCGATACCATCAAGGTATCACTCCAATCAGTACTTGTAATTGTATCAAACAAGGTATCGATACCTACTCAGTAT